TATTTTTTATATTCATATAGATCATCTTTATATTGGGAAGATCAGAGTTAAAGGAAAATGGAGAAATGTCAGGAATTGTAATATCAAAAGGAGCAAATCACCCTCCTGAAAGTTTAACCCACTTTGCCTTTTTTTAAAAAAATTATTTATTTTTATTATCATCATAATCTTCTTTATATTACATTGGTTACATATAACTTTACAGTGTACTACATTGCTTTTCCAGAAGGGAATGCCATGCATGTCAATCAATACAGAGACATTAATCTCCCCACTTCATCATTCAATATTTTTTCGATGTTTTTCCCAATCATTATTATTATTATTCTAATTATTATTTTTTAAACAGTCAATCACTATTTCTCATTTTGCTTATAAAAAGACTTTATCTATCATGAAATACTTCTCAGACCAATCCAGTTGAGAACACTATACATGTCATCATCAACAGGTAATAAGCCATATCTGTTTCCCACTGATGTCCTGCCCCTCTATTTGCTCTCTTGCTGTCTTTCTCTATCCTCTTCTCTTCACCCCTGCCCATTCCACACTGCCTTATTCTCATTAAGTACTTTCACTGCTTTTATGTCCTCCAATATTTCGCTCTACCACAGAGTGTGGATAGTCGGTATATATTAAGTAGATACATACAATATCTTTCTTTCATAGCCTGGCTTACTTCACTCAGCAATAGATCTTCCATATCTGACCACTTTCTATCAAATACCAGGGTCTTGTTATTTTTATGGCTGAGTAGTATTCCATAGAGTATATATACCACGCTTTTCCAATCCATTCATCAGTTTCTGGTCATTTAGGTTGGTTCCATGTCTTAGCAATTGTGAATAATGTTGCAATAAACATTGATGTGCAAGCACTTTTCCGACTGAGCGTTTTCCTGTCCTTTGGGTAGATACCCAGAAGTGGGATTACTGGATCAAATAAATGGTAGATCTATTTGTAGATCTTTGAGGAACCTCCATATTGTTCTCTACAGTGGTTGAACCAGTTTACATTCCCACCAACAGTGTAAGAGGGTTCCCTTTTCACCACATCCCCCCAACACTTATCACTTTTTATATTCTTAATCTTTGCCATTCTGACAGGGGTTAGGTGGTATCTCATTGTGATCTTTTTCTGCATCTCCCTTATGATGAGGGATGTTGAGCATTTCCTCATATGCTTTTTGGCTGTTCGTATGTCTTCCTTAGAGAGATTTTTGTTCAGCTCATTTTTCCATCTTTTAATTGGGTTAATCATTTTTTTTTTCGCATAAGGCACTTGAGTTCCCTGTGTATTCTGGTTACCAGTCCTTTGTCTGAGGCATATTTAACAAAAATATTTTCCCATTCTGAGGGTTGTTGGTTCACATTTGTTACTGTGTCCTTTGCTGTGCAGAAACTTCTTAGTCTGATATATTTCCACTTGTCTATTTTAGGGATTATTGCCTGTGCTTTGGGAGTCTTATTTAAGAAGTCTTTGCCTACTCCAATATCTCCCAGAGTTTCCCCAGCATTTGCCACTAGTAGTTTTATTGTTTGTAACCCAGTTTGCCATTTACATCACTTCTTTGATTCTCATAAGTGCCATTTCTTCTCTTTGCTACCTGTCTTTAAAGGAGAATGTGATTTGACTATTTTATGTCTTTAGAGTCCTTTCTTATCTCATTCATCTTTCTATCCATTTAATCTTTAGCTTTTTACTTCCCGATTGTTTTTCTTTTACCATGCTCTTCTCTTTTTCTTTCTCTCTGATTTATGTATTCTTTTAACAATATGTACTAGGCTCCAAGGATGTAAAAGTGACTGAGAAACCAGACAATAAAATAAATGTAATATATTCAGAGAAACATAGGCAAGTGCAAATGTTATGGAAACCAAGTAGGGGAAACAGAAGTTTAGGGAAGTCTTCACAGAGAAGGTAACGCCAAGCATGTTGTTTATTCAGGGACAACAGGACTAGAGTGTTCAATCCAAAGAATAGTGCAAATCAATGAATATTTTTAGAAGAAATGGGAAGTAGTGTAGCCAGAGAATTGTAACCGATAGATTTAGGAGAGGCATGTATGTGGTGCAACTGAAAAGATAGCTGTAGGCCAAGTCATAGATGATCTGGTATTGCCAGCACTGAGGATCTCAGGGTCTCAGCAGAACCGTGTCTGAGCTGTGCAAGTGTGCTGAGTGACTACCAGGTCTAGTTAGCCTTGAAGAAAGGAAAGATTGGGAGAAGGGTACTCACTGTTTTGTTTTTTTTTAAGAATTATTTTATTGAACTTTATTTATTTACTTACTAGTTTTTTAATTTGACCAGAGAGGGGGAGAGAGAGAGAGAGAAAGCCGCCAGGTTTGGGGCTCGAACTGTAGTCATCCATGTGGGAGTCCAGTGCCCCTAGCCACCACGCCAACTGCCAACCCCTAAGGTTGCTCACTTTTGCAGTAACCTGGGTAGAGAAGATAAGAAGCAAACTAGGGTGGAATGTAGAAAGAAGTTGAACTTTTCAAAGATGGAATCCATAGAGCTTGAAAGGGGAGAGAGATTATCAAAATTGGCCCAGGGCTTCTAGCAGCAACTGTGTCACTGGTGATGCTGTGAACTGAAATCAGGGCTTCAAGATAGGGACAACATAAGTGGGAAAGATACTGGACTCAGTTTTGCAGATGATAAAGTGTCTAGGAGACAGCCAGGTGGAGTTCCCCAGGAGGCCATTGGAAATGGAGTGGTTTAGGAGTCGAATATTGGGATTTAGATAATGGTTTTAACCTTAGATTGCCACAAGTATGTATAAGAAACAAGGGAAAAGAAATGGTAGCCAAGGATACCTCAGAGAGCATCAGCGTTAAAAGATGCCTAATGTGTTTATTAGAATGTAGTGAATAGAGCACCAAACATAGCAAACACTTAATGGTTAGGTAGAGGGGGAAGAGTCATCAGAGAGTGCCATTGGCAGGAAGCAGAATTTGACATGGTAGAAAGGGATGGGGAAGCCTCAGGATCAGATAGTGCTCTTAAATTATGATGAAATGACTTTTGGGGTTCAAGATTCAAAGTTGGGCCACACCTATAGTGCAGTGGTTAAGTACTGCACAGAGAAAGCCCAATCCCATGGCCAAAGAAGGTCAAGGTCCTACCCAGCCACTTGAAAAATATTCTAGGCACATGTGTGCTCAGAATCCTGACCGGGTGGAAAATTGAAGGTATGCAGCATACCAAGGCCCTGTTGGGTAGGGCTTCCTTCCTACCTCACCCCCCCACCCCGTTTCTCTTCTCTCTCATGTGCACATATACCCTCTGGCATAAAAAATAAATTAAAAATTTTAATTCAGAGTTCTCTAGGGAAGTGAAAAATTGTGATGTGGAAACTTTTCTACTTTCTGAATATTCTGTTGCTTTCTAGTTTTTACATGAAGCATTTGATATTTATAGATACAGCTAAGCAACATACTCATTTTTTTTCTAGTGGGAAAATTGAACTAAGAATGAATATAATTTCAGTTTTTCATTAATCTTGGCTGGTCTTGTTACAGCTGAAAAGGCTTTTTTTTTCCCCCCCTGCCTTCAAAGAGCAGATCTTGTTATGGTTCTAGACAGCCTAAATCATACTAGAAAATCTCTAGGCAGACGTTTCACTCTACTTGAGCTTTCTGAACATCTGTTAATATATTCAATAGTGTTCATATCTTGTATCATTTAATTCACATGATTTCAAGTGTAAATGTACATAGCCAACCACAGTTTGACTCCTGGCTCCAGCAGGTTGCAAAAACACTGAGTACAGGCATGCTCAAATTCTGACAGAGTGGAGTAATAGAAGAGAGGGGATTATAACATGACTACTCCCATTAGGAGGTTCTCTCTTTTTGATGAGCACTCATACTCTGACAGTTAACAAAAAATTTTAGGAGCCAGAAGGTAGCATAGTGAGTGGTTAAGGTGCTGGACTCCCACATGTTCAACTGTGGTTTAAGTCTCAGGTGTGATGGCTTGAAACTCATACTGGGCATATGTGCGTGCATGCCCAAAATCCTGAGAGAAGAATGGAGAAAGGGGATGGCAATGTGGTCATACCCCCTGGGGTGGTGATTTCTAGCTTTCTGTCCCTCTGTCTCTGTGTCTTCAGTGAGTGCACACATCCTATAGCAAAAAAATCTTTCTTAAAAAATAAACAATTTTTTAAAAGAGTGTGTGTTGCAGGGAGCAGCAGGTGGAATGGTGGCTAAGGTGCTGGATTCCCCCATGGCTGACGATGGTTCAAGACCCAGACCCAGCAGCTTAGTAATCACACAGGGCATGTATGCATGCATGTCCAAAATCCTGAGAGGAGAATGGAGGAGAAGGGATTGTGGCATGACCATTCTCCTGGGGAATATAATTTCTCACTTTCTCTCTGTCTCTCTCCAGCAAGCACATGTGTTCTATAGCAAAAACCTAAAAAAAAAAATAAATAAAGTTTGTATCCATTTATTTAACAAACTATCAGTATAAGCAAACTGCTTTACATGATTCTTAAAGAAGTAGCGATCTGTTCATTGTTGTAGAAAGTAGGCTGTTCAGACCCAGCTAAGTCTGCTTTTAAGTCTTCCTGAAGGTTTTTCAAGGGTATTTTTTACCAAAAACTCTTTCTCCCCTACATGTAGAATTCAATCATAGCACTTAGAAAAGATGCAACTCCTTCAGTACATACACTTAAATGAAGTTAATCTCCTTGTTATTTTTTGGAGGGAACATTAATACTATATTTGGTTAAAAGATCACAAGGCCAGCTCAGTGAAAGGTAACCATTTGATATCTTGAGTTCTGGAAGAGTCAGGACTCCTAAAGAGTGAGAGTAGATAAATATCTGTGAAGTAAGGGGTACTGAGAGGTTGTTGAAGGGCTGGGCTATCAGCTAAGTGAAAAACACTGGAGAGAGTTGGGATCAAGCAGCCACAGCTGTTCACCTCAGGCCTCCAATTGTAGCCAAGTGGAAAGTATTTAACCTCCTTTGGCCTTCCATATTTAAGGTGAGATGACTGCGGATGAATTAGCTTTGGAGGAACACAGGGAAAGATCCAAGGACTTAGGGAAGTTTTCAGATCTGGGTTTAGGTTCCACTTGGTAGAACGAGTGGGTTTTTCATCCCATGGGTAAGACACTTTTATAAGATCTCTGAGGCTGAACTAAGTAGTTCACCCAGTATAGCTATTAGCAGAAAATAATGCATGTTAGGTGACCTGGCTCCCCTTTTTTTTTTTGTTTAAAGAATTATTTGAATTATTTTAACTTTATGTATTATTATTCTTTTCCAATTTGGCCAGACAGAGAGAGAGGGAAATTGAGAAAGGAGTCAGGTCTGAGACTTGAACTGTGGTTGACCATGTGGGAGTCCAGCGCCTTTAGCCACCACGGCGTCTGCCAGGCTCCCTTTTTATCATGTATGTATGTATCTATTTGATATGGTCTCAATAGCTAACCTTCCCCCACCTCCCTTTATCTCTTCATTAATCCAGATCCTGTGTCAAGTGTAAGACCTGGATGGGGCTTTTGAAAAATATTTTTCTGAATATTCTGGCTCTTAATAATTATTTCTTTCTATATTGTGGCATTTTTAATTTATACCACACAGAACAGGAATTTTCTTAATAAAATTTGCTGATCATTTATGTGTAATTCTACAGTTTTAGGCATGGGATTGTTAATTATGTTTTATTCTCTATTTTGTTTTATACGTATGTTATCTATAACCTCAGCATGTAAGATCCTTGATAAATGTGGTTCTTTTTGTTTTGTGTCATTGTCTTTTTCTGTAGAACTTTCGTTATTGAGGTTTCTCAGTGCTGAGCTAACAAGAGGGTACTTCCTTGAACATAACGAGGCCAAGTATACAGAAAGAAGAGAAAGAGTATACACTTGTATGCGAATACCAAGAGAACTGGAAAAGGTACTGTTTTGGTGGTTTTTTTTTTTTTTTTTCATTACCAGAAAGCTTTCATTCTGAAAGCTAAGTCAGAATGTTAATTATCTGAAAAAATAATTGTGAACTGCTTGAGTTGAGTCTTTAAAATGTTGGAAATAATGTGACAAATATATTTGGGGAGTAAGAATTACCTTTTAGGAAAAGGCTTTAAAAGGTTACTTTTTAGAGGCCTGGAGGTTGTTTAGTGGTTAAGGTGCTAGACTCCCACATGGCCAACCACAGTTCAAGTCCTGGACCTGGAGCCAATGATAGTATATAAATAGATGTTTTTGTTTTTGCCATAGGATACATGTGCTTGTGAGGGAGACAGAGGGAAAGTGAGAAATCACCCCCTACTCCAGGGCAGGTGATCATGCCGCAGTCCCTTCCCCTGGATTTGGGGCATACGCACATGCATCTGGGTGATTTCCAGGCCACCAGTTCTGGGACTTGAGCTGTGGACAGCTATATGGGAGTTCAGTACCTTAACCACCATGCCACCTGCTGATCCCAACTTTGCTGTTATTAAACTTAACCATATTTCCCTGTGTGATATATTCAGATAACTTTTTCTGAGGAATTATCTCCACTTTACTTGGTTTTGTTCATTTCCATTTTGCTTTACTTAAAGCTTTTTTTTTTTTTTTTTTTTTTTTTTTTTGGGGGGGTTTTTTTTTTTGGGGGTCGGGCGCCCTCGGTTTTTGCTATGGGGTACGTGCGCTCGCCAGAAAGACAAGAGACAGACAGAGAGACAGAAGCGAGAAATCACCCCCCAGGGGGGATGGCCACGCCACAATCTCTTCTCCTCCTTTCTCCTCTTGGGATCTTGGGCACGCACGCACACGCGCCCAGCGTGAGTTTAAGCCACCGGGTCCGGGACTCGAACTGCAGTCGACTGCATGGGAGTCCAGTGACATAGCCATTATGCTAACTGCTGGTCTCTTAAAGCAGTTTTTTATTCCCACTCATGATCAATTATTTAATTTCAGCCTCTTTTAAGATTTTAGTTTCTTAGAAAATCCACATATGTAAAAACATAAATGATGGTGTTTTCAAAGAAAAAGAAGCTTTTTGTCCACGTTATAAGGTAAATATAATGACAGTGGCACAGAATCTTTACCTCTCTTATTCCCTTTACTGTCTCAGCCTTGTCAAGATCAATCAGACGTGACAGGGAAGCTGATTTCTTTTCTCTAGATGCTGCTAGAGTTGATGAGTCTGAGCAATTCCAAAATTACATGCTAGAAGAAAATAATTGAATAATTGAGCTTTAGTTAAACTGAAGCATGTTTTCTTTCATAGAAATATAAATCATAATGATGATTTCTTTAGTATCACACTTCCAGTAAATTGGATATTCAAAAGTTTTGTTGGTTTATCAGTGCACTGAAGTTACAAGAGTTGTGGTAGGCACTTAGAAGTTAGGACCCAGCTGATTTAGCTGATGGTCTTCTATTTCTGACCATCCGTTCATGTTTGGTAAAAGGAAGAGAGGCAAACATAAGAGTGACAGTTTTAGAAACTGTTTTATGTAGATTCTTGATGGAGTGTCACTTGCCGGAGTTTTAAAGTTCTGTTGTATTAGAGTCAGAGTTAGAGCTGGTGAACAAACACAAGATTGGAGAGCAAACAAATGTGACAATCGTGCGATTGCCTTTAATGAGGATCATTAAGTATGCTTAGTTATGGCCATATTGCTGCTTTCCCAAGAATCACTAGAGTTCCATGGAGAAGCCCTGGGGACTGGGAGATAGGGAGGAGGTGGAGGAGTGTGTGGGCTCTTTGCAGCATTTCTCCCCTGATGCTATGGTAGCTCTATTTTATCAATTGGAGTTTATCTAAAAATTTGTCTGAGGTGGGAGGAGAGGGATATTTCTTTGACTTGCAAAAAGATAAAAAATTAAACCAATTCTTGTATCTTAAAATATTTTCAGTTTGTGGGACCAACAGTAAGGGTAATGGCTATGTTGCTGAACTCCCATGTAACCGACTGTGGTTCGAGTCCTGGACACGGTGGCTTAAACTCACTCCGGGCGCATGTGCGTGCATGCCCAAGATCCCCAGAGGAGAATGGAGAAGGGATTGTGGCGTGGCCATCACCCCGGGGGGTGATTTCTTACTTTCTGTCTCTCTCTCTCTTTCTGGTGAGCTCACGTGCCCTATAGCAAAAACCTCAAAGCATTTTCTTTTTTTTTTTTTTTTTTTTTTTTTTCCCCCCAAGGTTTATGTTTTCTTCTATTGCTCTAAGCCCCAAGGTGGAAGCGTGAGGACACAGTACAGAGCATTGGAAGGGACTGTCTGTTGGGGTCTGTACTTACAGGACGACCTGGCCACATTTAACTTTTACTCAGTTGGCCTAACCCCTCTTCAGGGAGTTTTGTTTTGTTTTTTCTTTTTTTTCTCCTCCTGTCTAAGCAGTTATGGACTCTCATTTTTCTCTGTGGAGGAAACAGAGGGGTTTGCCTCCAACCCCCGGCCGAACTTTATAAATACAACCAGGAAACTTTATCTAAGTGGGGTAATCAGGCCTATTTTATTATCCTCCCTGTAGCAAAACTAACAAGCAATGGGGCAATCCACTGTTACCTCATCAGAGCCAGGCTCATTACACACATCCTGCTTTCTTTAATAGTAATGTGAAAATAAAAAGCAAGGTTTCTGGTTAAGTTATTAATAGAAACTTGTAAGCATTTCATGTTTGTTACCATGAGCCTAAATTGTCTTATGGGGAAAATGCCCACAAATCTTGATGACACTTATCAATAAGTTTAAGCTAAGTTTTTAAACTACATCTTATTATAAGACCACTGATGTGTAAAGGAATTTGTATGCTGTCAGGATTTATATAAGTATATATACGCACACACACACACACACACATATATATATATATACACACACACACACACACACACACACACAAGTAGAAAAGAATAGAATACGTATCAGAGCCTGAAGTAAAGGTTAAGTATTACTTTATGAATTGGTTCCATTTTTATGAATATGAAGTGTGTAACATCAGAAAAGCTGATTAGCACTGCTTAGTGTGTTTTTTTGTTTGTTTGTTTGTTTTTTGGAGAAGTTTTTTTTTTTTTTGCTAGAGGGCACGTGCGCTCGCCAGACAGAGAGAGACAGAGAGATAGAAAGTGAGAAATCACCCCCCCAGGGGGGATGGCCACACCGCAGTCCCTTCTCCTCCATTCTCTTCTCGGGATCTTGGGCACACACACACATGCGCCCAGCATGAGTTTAAGCCACTGGGTTCGGGACTCGAACTGTGGTCGACTACGTGGGCGTCCAGCAACATAGCCATTACGCTAACTGCTGGCCCCCACTGCTTGGTTTTTTAATCAGTTTTGTTTCTCATGAAAGGCAGTGACTTTAGGCCTATTTAGAAAAATGTGATTTAGTCTTTTAGAATAACTCTTCAGAAACTTTATAACTTAAGTGTATAAAAATATGTCATATTTTTCAGTTTACAGCAATTTTTTAACTTCTAAGATCAAGTGAAATATAGAGGAAAGTAAAGCTAGGTTTCATCTAATTTCAGGCTTAAATATCTCTCATAACTGAATTTGATATGTTTAAAGGTATTTATTTATTGGATAGTTGGAAAAATCATGACGTTTTTGCATAGAAAAACAGAAAAATAAATACATCATGACTTTTCCAACAACCAGTATTTCTTTACAATTAGAGTACATGCACTCACCAGAGAGAGAGAGAGAGAGACACTGAAAGGGAAAGTAAGAAATCATCCTCTGGTGGAGATGGCCACATCACAATCCCTTCTCCTCCATTCTCCTCTCAGAATTTAGGACATGTATGCACATGTGCCAGGTGTGATTTTCTAGTCGCTAAGTCCAGCACTCATTTCACGGTTGGCCATGTGGGAGTCCAATACCTTAATCACGATGCCACCTGCTGGTCCCAAGGTCTTAATTCTATGTAAGTAGTATTTCACTTAAAACTTTCATGCTATGAGTTAAGAGCCTGCATAGACAGACAAGTCAATCTAAATTTTTTTTTTATTGATTTCCTTTTTATTTACATTTTTTACATTATATAATATATTCTAACATAATAATACCTTAGTCATTTTTTTTCTTGTTTTTCAGTTAAGTGCTATGATATTTCACCAAAGTTTATCTGGAAGAGAAACTTGAATTTTAAGAGCACTTTTGCCTCTGGACCAGCAGGTGGCATAATAGCTAAAGAGCTGGATTCCCACATGGCTGATTGCAGTTTGAGCTCCAGACTTGGCCCCTTGAAAATTATGCTGGATGTATGTGCATGTGTGCCCAAAATCCCAAGAAGAAAATGGAAGAGAAGGGATTGCAGCAAGGCCATTCCTCTTGGGGAGTGATTTCTCACTTTCCCTCTCTCTGTCTCTTTCTGGCAGGTGCATGTACCCTCTGGCAGAAACCTAAAAAACAAAGTTTGGAGATAAGATAAAACATATATTTACTGTTTATACTTTAAGGCTAAAGGAAAGTCAACTCAATATCACTTACTGAATCTTTTTACTAATGTTAAAAAGAAAAATTTCAGAATTTTCTAATGTTATCAGTAATAATCACCTTATATTTGACATTTGATAAAGGTGAATTGCTATATGTTTAAAATAGTATTCTGGGGCCAGCCAGTTGTGTGGTGGTTAAGGCAACTGGATCCCACATGTCTTTTGAGCCCTAGACCTGCTTGCTTGAAAATCATGCTAGGCACATATATTTGTGTCCAAAATCCTGAGAGGAAAATGGATGAGAAGAGATTTCACTGAAGCTATGCCCTGAAGGGTGATTTCTCCCCTCATTCCCACCCCTTTCCCCAGCTATGTTTCTCTAGTGAGCACACACCCTTCCACAAACACAGCATTTTCAATTATGAATACTTCTTGTGCTTAAGCTTATTCTAATATCAGGTTATAAAAGTGTGTTTTATTGAAGTGCGTTTTTTGGGACATTTTGTTTTCTTCACCACAAATCCCTTTTTCCCCTGCCTCTACACACCACTTAGGTTCTTCTCCCAGTTCTGCCCCTAATACTTATGTAATCCACTTTGGAGCTGTAATTTTCTTTTCTATGCAGCCAAGGAGACTGAACTACACTTTTCTGCCTTATAAATTTAGAGACAAGGCAGTAAAGTTTTATTTTGTTTTGTTTTTTAAAAATTATTTAATTTTATTCATTGTAATTACTTTGTGCTTTGGAAATTGACCAGAGGGAGACAGAGAGGAGTAAAGTGAGAAAGCAAGCAGCCAGGTCTGACCAAACCATGATCAGCCTTGTGGGAGTCCAGTTGCCTTAACCACTGCCACTTGCTGGCCCCCTTGTTTTGTTAAGTTTTTGCCTTAGTGGATGTGGATTTGTAGGAGACAGACGGAGACAGTGAGGTGGAATGTGAGAAATCACTCCAGGGTGGGGGGATAGTGGGGTGGCCATGCCACAATGCCTTCTCCATTCTCCTGCCAGGAATCAATCGTGGGCACACATACGCCCAGCATAAGTTTCAGGCTACTGGGTCCGGGACACCAACTGTGGTCTGCCACATGGGAGTCCAAGTGACGATAACTGCTATGCCATCTGCTGTCCCCAGTATAGTGAAGTTTAAACGGATGAACTCTAAAGCCAGACTACCTGGCTTTGTTTTTTGACCCCAGGATTTATTAGCTGTGAGTCCTTGAGCAATTCACTTAACCTTTCTGTGCCTCAGTTTTCTCTCATCTAGTTACTAATTACATGGTAAGCCCTATAGAGGGGCTTTCAAATTGTTTAGTCTTTCTCTTCAACAGATTGTGGGAATGCACTGCCTTGGTAGAACAAGAGAAGTTTTGAAAAATTTCTTGTCCTTGGGTTCTATTCTTATGGATGTCTCTTTGCAGTAGGGGCAACTTTTGTGCTGGGAAGGGAGGTAGGTCTAGGTTTCAGAGTGCTCTTGTGTCCCAGTTTTATTACACATTATACTTTTATTCTTCCTGCTTTGCTTGCCAGTAAACTTGGCTTTGCCTACCTACAAGGAATATGATTCTCTCTCAGGACTTTTGGATTGCTGACCACAGACAGAAAGATTCTCCAAAGAAAGCTCTGTTCTTCTCTCTTTCCATATGACCAGGTTGTCTTGGAGTAAAGCTTTTCTCTTTGATAAGGGACTTAGCAGTAGGTCCTAGAAATGCTGACCCTCTAAAATTTGGCTTCATCAGGCGCAATCATGTAGTTTCCAGTTAGGGTATAGGACAGGTGATGGATGATTTAACTAGATGCTCGGTGATATTAGAGGCAGGGATCACAGGTTTCCTAGAGAAGAAATTCCTTGTGAGTGATTTCTCACTGTCCCATTTTTTACCTTGTTATATTCTACTCTGGTATCCATATCTGTGTAAATGATAAGACAGCATTTATCAGATAAGGATCAGGGATTAGGCACTGTCCTGAGAACTTTAAATGTGTTTGCATTGAATCCCCTTAATAACTTCATCAGATATGTGTCCTTTTAAATGTCCATTTCCTCCACCTGCCCCAGGACAGCCCTTTAGTGACTTTAGTGACTTTCAGACAGATCTCGCCTACCCGTGTTTTGGTAGAGGCATGAAAGACTTCAAAAAAAGTCATGGCCAAGGGCAACTTATCTTTTGAATAATTTACTTCTATAGGTGATAAACCAAAGAGTCTGGAAGAAGAAGTATAAACTTTCATTTTGGAAAAGGACTTTCATTAAAATATGGCTTATACACAAGTAGAACTATTATTGAGGTGTTGGAAAAGTCATGATACATTTTAGTACAGAAAAAAAAAAAAATGTCATGACTTTCCTGACAACCCAATGTTACTCCCAGAGCTAAGTTATGAGATATTAACCTTTCATACAGTTATAAATTATTTGATTATTTGAAATTTTCATCTAGAATATTTTACATTTTTTTGTTTCCTTTTAAAATCCAGCTCATGGTTTTTGGAATCTTTCTATGCCTGGATGCATTTCTGTATATATTCACCCTGCTTCCTTTACGAGTTTTCCTGGCGCTCTTCAGGCTGCTCACTTTGCCTTGCTTTGGCTTAAGGTAAGTTTAAGATTATTAACTATGTTAAATGTCTAGATGATTTTGTTATTTTTTTTAGTTTTAGGGTTTTGTTTTTGTTTTGTTTTGCTATTGGGCACATGCACCTGGAGACGGAGAGAGAGAGAGACAGAGAAAGCACCCCTTAGAAAGATAACCATGCCACAGTCTCTTCTCCATACTCTTCTCTGGATTTTGGGCATGCATACACAGGTGCCTGGCATGTTTTTCAGACCATGGGTTCAGGACTTCATCTTCTCAGCCAGTCATATGGGATCTAGCTGCCTTAATCACACTATGCCACCAGCTGGCCCCTATTTTATTATTTTTATTATTTATAGAGTTTGCAAAATAAGGATAATTCATACAGTTTTAATCCACATTTTGACCTTAATGTATAATTTATCTTTTTAATGCATACTATATAACATATATAATATCATGCTTTCATAAGCATTTTTTTGAGGGGAATATGGTTTTGAACCAAAACTTTACTTTAGTTGAATAATGTTAAGGTAAGAGGCTATGAAGCAGATGTAGAAGGGACTGAGTGCCAGAGACCTACTTAGCCACTTTTCTAACTCACCTGTATATTTATTTTCTTGAAGTCCCTGAACCTCCTTAGCATCATCTGTAAAAGAGAGCTTGGTCCTAAGTTAAAAAGATGAGAGGCAGATGGTATCAGAATTTCCTATGGAGCTCTACAGAGATTTCTCCTGCATTTTATTTGAGAATCACTGTTTTGATAACTTGTGGAGCTTTAGATACTGATTCTAGGTAAGAGTCCCTATGCTGGGACCAGCAGTTAGCATAATGGTTATGTCTCTGGACTCCTATGTACTCGACTACGATTCGAGTCCTAGACCCAGTGGCTTAAACTCACACCGGGCATGTGTGCGTGCCCAAGATCCTGAGAGGAGAATGGAGGAGAAAGGATTGCAGCATGGCCATCCCCCTGGGGGGTGATTTCTCGCTTTCTGTCTCTCTGTCTCTCTCTTTCTGGAGAGTGCATGCGCCCTATAGCAAAAGCCTCTCCAAAAAAAAAAAATTAGATAAAAAAAAGTCCCTATGCTTTGTGAAAATAGAAAAGCTCTTAAAGACCATTATCCTAGTGAGAAAATAAGACAGCCCTTTCTGACATGGATTATCTGGGGGAATTATAGGCAGCTGCCTTATTAAACCTGTTTCCCCTGCAGTACAAAGGGGTATCGAGAGCTCGCAGTCTTTTACCACAGAGACTAGGAGATGTAAAAAGAATATCCAACATAGTATGTTCATAGTGAACAAGAATAAATACTAGTTTCCTTCCCTTTTTTCTGTACTAGAAGTAGGAAAAGTAAGGCCAAAGTGTTAAGCTTTTGTGAAACCTGATGCTTTACTGGTCTCAGGTTAGAGAGAAGTTTGGGTTTTATAGTTTTCTTTGTTTGGTTTGTCAATGTCTCCACTCTGTGTAGTCACTCTACTACGTTATTATTTAGTTGTCTAGGCTACATATCTAATGTCACTTTCAAAAATTTAATGGACAATAATTTGTGAAATTTCATTTAACTACAGTGATAGTTCCATGGTATATGAGATATATAATTAATAAAATAGTATAATCATGGAAATTTAGTTACAAAATTATTGGTTAATCTTCGTAATTTTTTTAAGAGTAAAGTCATAGAAGATTCTCTTTTAAAGTAGTAAATGACTATATACTTAATATTTAGACATATATCTAGTCCCTTTAAAACTGAGCCTTAATCAGTTTTGATAAGGAAGAATTCCTTCTGATATAAATTGCGATAATTTAATGATCATGATCATATTGTAAAAAGAGCACTTTTATTTTTCTTGTGGCTCAGGTGTTTGGAGCAAATTTCTTTCTTTTTTTAAAATGTATTTATTTACATTCATTCACTGTACCATCATTGCAGTATGAGATTTTTTTTACTGGATAAGATTTTTTTTCATCCAGAGTACACTGTGTATTGGCTCAATCAAGGATATTACCGTACATGTTATCATCAACAAATAATTTTCCATTTCTTTTTTCTTAAATATTTTGCCTTTTTTTTTTTTTTTGAGTGATTTTCACTATAGGGCGCGTGCGCTCGCCAGACAGACAGAGAGAGACATAGAGACAGAAAGCGAGAAATCACCCCCCAGGGGGAATGGTCACGCCGCAATATCCCTTCTCCTCCATTCTCCTCTCGGGATCTTGGGCACGCACACTCACACGCCCGGTGTGAGTTTTAAGCCACTGGGTCCGGGATGCGAACGCGGTCGACTACGTGGGAGTCCAGCGACATAGCCATTACCCTAACTGCTGATTCCCACTTTTTTTTTTTTTTTTAAACTCTTCTTGATTCCCTACTTTTCACCCTCTGCCATTTCCCACCCTCCTTTCACACTGTCTCTGGTACCTACAGTTGCTTTTCATGCCTTTTTTTTCCTTCCACGTTTTATTGATTCACAAGAGATCTCAATCTAAATACTTTCAATAGCAAGTAAAGCTGATATATACATATCTGTGAACACATGTCTGACTTTAGGCATAAACCTTAGTGAGTAGAATGAACATACTATAAAGTAGCACCTAGCTGGGGCTATATAGCTTAACATAGTCATTAAATAGGTATTTTTATGCATTTTTAAATTTCAAGAAAAACAATTTTAGTTTTAATAGATCAAAATCAAAAAATGTCAAGAGAAGTTTGCTTAAGGCTTAAAGCCAGGAGAAAGGGCTAGGATTCATTTCAAACAGTAAGTAGATGAATCTATCAACAGTTTAAGAGAAGACAAAAATACTTACATCTGGAAAACAAAACAGAAAAAAATCAGTAATGTTATATTTAAAAGTCATAAAATTCTATTTTACCAGTTCAGTCTCATATAATTAATCTCTATTCTGTTGAATTTGCAGTGTTACTATGGTCTGATTTTCCATTTAAATTCTGGAAGTTAACATTCAATGTTATTATTGCTCTTTTCAGACTTGTCTCTACCAAAGATTGGCCATTCTCTTGGTTGTTCTTTGTACTCTTATTTCTATGTGTCTGACTTTAGTTTTCCTGATATAGCACTCCCTTCAGAACTTCTTAGAGAGCTAGTCTGATGTTGGTAAATTCTTTTAGGTTTTATTTATCTGAGAATGTTTTTGTCTTTTCTTCCCATATGAAGGATAATCTTGCCGGGTAATAATATTCTTGATTGAAATTATTTTTCACTTAATACTTTGAATATATTTTTCCATTCTTTCCTTGCTTGCATTGTTTCTGATAAAAGACCTGACATTAGCCTGATGGGATGGGATATCCTTTGAAAGTAGTTTGACATTTCTCTTTTGCCAATTTTAATATCTTGTCTCTGTCTGTGGTTTTGGCCAATCTGGCTATGATGTGCCTTGAAGAAGATCTTTTTGGGATACTGAAAATCTGGTATTATTCTCATTTTGTGTGTGGGGGAGTTATGTTCTCAGTCTTTTTGGTGAATTTTTCTAGGTCAGAGGTTGTCTTCTACATCTGAGATTCAATTTTCTGTATGATCTAATCTGCTTTTAATACTTTCAAGGGAGATTTTGATTTCCTGTATTGTAACCTTCGTCTCTAACAATTCTGTTTGATTCTTTTTTATGGTGTGTATTTCCTCTTTCAGATCGTGTAAGAACTTCCTTACCTTCTGGAACTATTTTTCTTTTTTCTCCTATATTTTCTGGAGTTCGTTGTCTCTCTTCCCTTGCATCTCTATTAGCTTTGTTACTATGTATATTCTAAATTCTTTATCTGACATTTCCATGAGTTCCATTATATTGTCTGTGGAGGATGAAGAATTATTTTATTCCTTTAGGGGAGAGATATTTTCTTAGCTACTCATATTTCTTGTGCCTCTGTGGTGGTTTCTAGTCATCTGATGGATTATATGTTTTTTTCCTAATATTTGGAGTTAAATCTGTGTTTAAAGGTGTGTAGCAGGTGTTCTGTAATCTCTCTGCAGTTCTGTTTTTCCCTTTATGCAGCAGATTCCATGGAATTGAGGATTACTCTGACCTTACTTGATCTTGGGGGGCAGGAGGGTGAAGTCCAGGCAGAAAATCTTCGGTTGTCCTAGTCCCTCAAGGGGGGCCACTCAGAGCGTGAATGTAGATGGCTTGTGATTGGCCTGTCCTATTAGATCTTGGGTGTCAGGAGGGTGAAGTTTGGGCAGAAAATCTTCAGTTGTCATAGTCTATTTTTTTTTTTTTTTAACATTCAATCACTGTGTATCTTGACAGCATACAAAATGAATTTTCTCCGAATGAATACTCTGTAAATTAGTCCAGTCATAGATATTACCCTATATGTTATCATCAACTGGTAAGTTTCCATTTTTGTGTCTATTAAATGTTTTGCTTCTTTTTTCCCTTGATTCCATTCAGCCCAACCACACCCACTCCCATTTTCCACCCTCCTTTGGGAGGATTTTTATGAAGATCTTATTCTTGGCTAATCTTTAATAAGTTAATAAAACTTAACATTGTTTTTTTTTTTTTCAGATCACTTTTGGGGGCTCAGTAGAATCATGGCATTTTAGTTACCTTTGCAGAAGACCAAAGTAAACCCTAATAACACAATAAATATAAATCTTTAGGTATGGCTATATAAAAAAATGAACACATGGAAATTTAGATAAAGCTAGATAAAACTACCTGACACAAAATAACAATAGGGATTTTCACATCTGTATATTGAGCTCATTGCTTCTTAGTTCTGTGTTGTATAATGTGAAACAAGCTCATATTCTAGCTATTTTCACATGAATGTCTTTCAAAAACATATATTCTGTTATGGCTGTTGGCATGATGAGATGAAATATTAGGCTATATAACCTAAAGACTTTCTCGTGGAATAATTACTTCCTTGCATGTAGTTATCAGAGGACAGTGAGTAACAGTGGTAATCTGCCAGTGTTCCCAAGGGTCTTCTCTTGGAGGCTCTTATTTGAAGACGTATGTGCTGCACAAGACGTTGTTATTTTCAAGT